TCCCGGTGAATGCCTCCTCAAATCTCCGGATATTGGACTGGCTGAGAGAATGCATCTGACATTGCTACGAGTTAGCCAAGACAGTTTCCCTTAAAGCTTTAAGGGCCCGTTTCCCCTTGAGTGGTGGCAACATTGTGGACCCAGGGCCTCCCGCAAACATCCTAGCAGAGGTCAACTGCAGAGCAGCGACTTGGAAGATTGTGGCGAATCGTTTGCTGGACACTACAGGCTGGACACCTTGGCCTGCTTAGGAGGGCAGTTATATCAGCAGTCGTTTAAGGAGTGGCCTGTCCCTCCTACAGCTTACCAGCTTTTAGTATTTTGCTACCCGTTAAGACTAACTAGTAACAAGTGGACAGCAGTGTAGACTGAAAAAAAGCATGCAATTTTCTATTTATTAAAGTGCAAACCCTTATTTATGAATATTTGGGCGAAAATCAGACCAGCTGGAGAAAACTGACGCATGCAAGGCGGCAACACTGTCCGATACAGATGGGACAGACGTAGATTAGTCCACACTTGCTGTACCATCTTCTGGCTTGCCAGGGTATGGCTTTTCGACACCCACAGCAAGGGGGTTTCACAACCTTTGTGTGATCCGCCAACCCTGTATCACCGTCCTGGAATGTAACATCCATTTTTGAAGGATTCAAATGAGAGAGTAGTTTTGAACGGTCTAGTTAAATGCATTTGTTATGAAAGAGATACATTAAAATATAAATATGTCCAAAGACACCAGGAAAGCTTGAGCAACTTTCATCAGCACATACCAGAAGCGTTCAAAATGATCACGCAGTCGAGACGTTTGTAAAATAACCATGACCCTCTGAGATGTCGATGCAATGTGGGGTCACCAACACCAAGTCGGATGCGTAGAGGTTTAGAGCAATGAGACTTGTACGAGAACACCACTCGTGTGACTATGGTTTGATTGACGTAGCTCAAACTGCTGTCTAATTGTAATTCTTTAATAATGAATGATGGGGTGGAGCAGTAAGCACAGTGGTTAGCGCTACTGCACCGTGACAACGCAGTAACTTTAGTTTTAGATTCCTGGCCAAGGACAACATTAGTGGCGAGTTATAAGAATCGGTCCTGGGCTTGCCCACTTTACCAACCCACACTGACCATTTCGGTGAAGTATGGTGCGGGGAAGTATTTTTTCAGCAGTGGATTGACAAAGGACTTTACAATAATGCACGCTACCTTTCATCGGCACCCTGTACACGGCACTAAAGCTCACACTACAGCCCGTGAGTTCCCGTCACAATGGCGTGCTGGCAGCGTTAACTGAAATTATAGGTGGTGGTGAGACGGGGGGGGGGGGTCAGAGGGACATTGCAGTGGTTCCAAAGCTGCCTGTGATGTCATGGCTGAAAAGCAGCTTCTGTGCAGCCTGGCTTAAGAAGGCCCTCATACATGGTCAGTTTACTTTGTGTCCCAGTGCACAGTTCAATAATGATTTTCTTCACTCGCGTTTCTTAACCTTTTCCCCATCACGACTCGCTGGAATGGATTTGGTCACAACCAGTGAGATGAAACAGCTGTTTCATGAACCCCATGCAGGGTTTTAACATTGAGGGGCATCTGTTTAAAAAAAAAAATCTTAAATATTTAATTATGTAAATTGCTTTTTTTAGCGCACGTAATATCAATGCATACATTGTACTGCGTATGAATTGCTAATTCCTCTGACCTCCCCAGGGTAGGTAACATGTATGATCAGTTACGCATGCACGTGTGTGTTCTTATGAGAAAGGTGGCGTAATGGTAAGCACACTGCGCTATGCTCTCAGTGACCTGGGATTTATTCCGAGCCAATTATAACATCAGTGGAATTGGGTTGTGAATTGGCTGTTGCTTTCTCCTAGATCAACCTGGCCTCAAATGAATGTCTTATATATGATGTGGTTAACAACAGCACTCAGATGAAAGGTTGGCCGGTTATGATATTGGCACCCATACTCCTTGGTGTGCTTTACGAGCATTGATACAATTAAAGTTAAAGGTAATGTACAGCCCTTGTGTAAATCGACTTCTGGATGAAGACCCCCCCCCCTCCCATGTCGTACTGGTCACGGGGGCTGTTTGACCACATACTTCATCACACCATGCAGTGCAGGTTGGTGAAAGGTGGGGGAGTTGCCAGGACCGGTTGAGATATAATTTGCCACTGATGTTAGCCGTGACCAAGAATGGAACAGCGCAGTGCGCTAACCACTGAATTACTGCTCTACTCCCCGAAGCCTAAATAGGTATGAACAGTGCTTTCCACTCGTTATATTCTAACATATGAATTGGATATATGATTAGTAACTGTATTACGTGAATATACGAAGTTGTTTTTTCATGCGTTTCTAAGGTGCAGTATTTATGAATATATAATCTGGCTGGGTGGGCGCACTGGTAAAGTATGGTGCATGCCAAAGGTTCAGAGTTCAAATGCGATTCAGGGGGTGAACTCAGTCCTTCACCTCGAGTGTCGATAAAATCAGCATAACTTTGTGGCCAAGTCAACAGTGGTTGTCGAATGGAAATACTAACCCCTGTCATAGGAATGTGGAATTTCCACTACTGGCTCAGGGCTGTAAGGAGGAGATGAGTGTCGCCTCGGGCTCAGTTGAGCTGGAAGCCTCTCTTGTCTTTCAAAGAACAACGGATATGCTTAGCCTGTGCTTAACACAGCTGCCAAGTTCATATTCCATATGCTGTATATTTTCTTATACAATGCATTCCAGTGGCACTTATTTGTAGATTAGTTGCATTTCTGCTCGTGGTAGATTTGCAGAGAAGCTACATGAAGAGCGCAAAGTTCCCTCCCGGAAAAGGTTCTGTAAATAAATAAACACAAGTAATTGTATACCATGGAAACAAAGACAGTTAACCCTTTCAAGATTTATATAAACAAATATTTAATTCGCCATAATTGAAAGGAATTAAAAAAACACCAAACACACACATGCCTCATCTGTCATTTCCTGGAAGATTTTGGGGAAGCTTTAAATCTTTTAGTAGAAGTCTGAAAAATATAATCGCACATTTCACATGTGGAATAACTGGTCTTATAACCCAAAAGGAAAACAAATAGTGCTCATAGTTACAGCCGTGTAATTGAAATAACCCTGTAGAGTTTAAGGGAACTGCTTAAGAGAATAGGTTCGTCTCTCTGTGCAATCGTTTATTTTTGTCATAATTCAGTAAAAAATCACCGATCAATTATGATTGTTAAATAAAATGGCGGTATTGTATAGAACAATTCAGGAATGGTCTTGCTAAAATATGATGTTGAATCTAATTGTGCACATAGATATGAGAATAAGGTGTATTGCTGTCATTGACAATTGCATGTTTTTGCTTACAAATGCTGCTATGGTAATTAAATGTATGCATTAGATACAAAAGAAATCTGCTACATTTTGTGCATGTGGTACATGGCACCACGATGAAATCAGAGCGAATGATTAAAAGTTCAAACAGCAACTCTGGTTTCATTCGACCTTTTATCGGCGGCAATTTAAAAAAATACATATTTTGGCTCTGCCACGCGTTCTTTTGTTTTAGTTGCATTAAACTGTAAATACGTTACACTCATCCAAGAATCGTTTTCCTTAAAATGTTGCAATATTGTTCCTAGAATTTTGCAAGTGATATTTGACATATTTGAATTATTAACACACCGCACAATGGCTGAATAGAAAAAAAGGCCAAAACATGAAATTTAAGTAAGGACAGAAGCAGTAGTGTTTTGCAAATCCACTGTGTATCTGGAGGGTGTTAGTGGCTATCAAATGGCCACCCGGGCCTGGATCCTAGCCCACAGTTGTTGCATGACACTCGTGTCTGATGTCGCTGTCGTCATATAAATGCTCTCGTTTATATTGCCCGTTGCCCGGGAAATGGGGCCACGATGCTTTTTTTTTTGCATTTGCATGCCGCGCCGCGCCGCCCACTCTGGCCGCGGTGGAGAGCGGCCTGCTGTCTTTGTCACCTTGGGCTTGGCACGCGGGTTGTTTGGTGTGAGGCACGTTCACGCGCGTCCCAGGGGCGTGTGAGCACAATGCGGCCGTTTGTGCTCTGCTCGAAGGTAAAAAAAAAAACCCTGCAAAATGCAAGCGGTGCTTGGTTGGGTCTTTTGTGAACGTTTTATCCGCCTATTAATTTCACGCGGCCTTTTGTCAGAGCTGAGAGCGACGACGCACTTTTATTCATGCAGGTTAATTTATGTGCCGCGGGATGGGTTGCTCGCGCTGGAAAATTGGATCGATTTATATGACAATTATAGAATTTTGTACAGGGATGTAGAATCGCATTCTCTCCCACAATTCAGGGTGATGAGTTTAAAAAAAAAATTGTATTTATGTAAAATTGCTATCTCTGTGTCTGTGGTTTGTTATATTTCGCTCACATTTTGAAAATGTATTGAGTGGTATAAAATGCATATATTAGTCTTCATATGCAAATCATATAATTTCTGTATGGCATTTCAGTGCACATAAATTAATGGGAACAATTAATGCAGAATGAATGGGTATTTCAGTTTCCATGTCCTTTGAATGCAAAAATTTCACAATGCTGGAAAAACTCCAGTGAGTTAATTAGTTAATTAATAAAAAAATTCAAAGCAGCCCGACAGACATCAAATTCTACATACTGCTACATCCAGAAATGTTAGCATACATTTTTTACATCATCACATGTGTAACTATCAATAAGTGTAAATATAAGTATTGATAGTCTGACAAAAATCAAACCTCAAGAGCAGTTGCAACAATTCCCTCTTACGGTAACATCTATGACAACTTTGATTGTGCCGTTCGTTGCTCGGTTCGAAAATGTTTTAGGCCGCTGGGTCTGTGCTCAGTAATTGTGTGTAAAAGAAACCCCCAAAATACACATTTATTCCCAAACATTACAAGAGCGACACATACAAAACACCCCCCACTTGTGTCGTTCAATGTCTCATGTGAATACGCCCGTCTTCTTCTGCCCAAATTCTACAGATGATGATGTGGACCTGGAGAATTTGGTCAATGACATGAATGCGTCGGAGTCAACGGGAAGCGCTTCGAGCAGCCCTGCCGACTCGGTGCCTCTCCTGCAGCCCTGCGCAGGGCCTGACGGCAGGGAGACGCTCGCCCACGCTCTGCCTCCCATCGCCGCCGCCGCGGCCGCCTCCTCCGCCGTCACAGCCTCTCGCCCTGGCATGTCACGTGTCGCGCCGCAACCGGGCGACGCTCGTGAGCTTGGGGACACCTCCCTGCTGCACCAAGGCGTCCGTCGTTCTCAACCGGTCCACATTCGAGCAGTCCGGTATTCATGGTCATATTGCAAAAAAGCTACAGAGACGGGTTCTTTTTTGCGGCGTGCGTCAAAACATGGGTGTAGGCTACGCGTGTACGGCAAAAAAACAACCACGTAATATTTGGAAAAGGGATATTTACAGTGTGCACCGACTTAATTTGGTTATATAAGTCATAGAGTGGTAACTTTGTTATGACTGCACCTGTTAACAAAACCAAGATGTTTATTTGAATTTCCCTGCCGATGGCTACCAAATGCAACACTTCCTCCGCTATGTGAACACAACATTCATTCTGGAAGTTGATTGTGACGTTAATCTTTGCCGACGTGGACATGGAAATTGTTTATCGCAACGGAAATGTCAGACCGTTGTCCTCTTGAACCTTTGTCGGCCTTCCATCGGTGTACGGTGGTACATAGGTGACAAATGTCCAGAAAAAAATTGCCGGCATTCGAATGCAGGCAACATTCACAGATGGAGTAGTTGACAAATTGTTTAGGTTAGGGGTCAATAGTTGCATCAGAGAGTATGTACAAGGTTGGTTTCCCATGTATTTCCTTATTTTGAATAAGTAGTATGTTCATTTATACCTTGCCATGAAACAATCACAAATGCCGGACAATAAACTTGTACAGATGTATCTTTCTCATACTCTTTAATCCAGGGCTTAAGCAAATAGGGGGGGTGCTTGTGGCAACTCGCAGATGATGGTTAAACCACAGACTGTGTTCAGCCTTAAGTGGTTGTTACACAAGTTTCCAGACCTAGAAATTGCAGGATTTGTAATAGATTTTCATAATCTCATTTTCTTTTCAAGTTTCTTTTTATGTCCACTATTGCAATTTATGCTATAAATTTCACAGTAGGCTACGTTATGAAAAAATAAAATAAAAAAATGTATTTTAAAACGTTGTAATAAAAAGGACACGTGTATAGCCGAAATGCCACCTTTATACATTCTACATCACCTCCAACTAGACCAGTCACCTGCCAAACATACTCCCGAACTTAGTTTTCATCTGGAAAAACAAAATATGAATACTTTTGTAAAACTATATCTATTGACAAATTCCACTTTATTGGAGGCTGCCATTACTTTGTGCCAAAAAAGGCAATGTGCTTCCTCTTACCACAATCGGGCATTGGATACAAACTGGAATTTTCTCATCAAATAGTCTCTGTTGCAATGAGGCCTTTGGCAGCGGGGATGGCCACCATTCCCCGGAAAGTATTAACAGGGATCAAATTTGTTTTTCACCTTTGGAGCCATTTCCATGAGAAACACATGTTAATACTGTACGTCCTTACTATGGTAATTGTCTTCTTGGTTCTTTCGGTAAAGTCACGTAGAAGGGAAGTAATAAAATAATAAAAATAAAACATAATAAAATAAAATATTTCTCACGACGTTTCGGCTACAACGCAAGCAGCCGTCTTCAGGTGAAGGCTGCTTGCGTTGTAGCCGAAACGTCGTGAGAATTATTTTATTGTTTTATTTTTATTATTTTATTACTTCCCTTCTACGTGACTTTACCAAAAGAACCAAGAAGATGAATCCCTGCAGTCACGAAAGCTTTAAATCGAAATTTATGGTAATTATTTTATATTCAACATAGAATTTGAGGAACGCGTTAAAAAAAAACTTTTTTTCAAAGGTGTTACATGTTGCCATTACTATCTGTCCCAATATGTGGCATAATCATTCTTAATGGTGTAAACTGAGTATGATGAAATGGACTAAATTACTTATTCACTCTGTTGTTGCTACATTTCTAAATTCTTTAGATCTCAAAAAGGATTCAATTCGAATGATAATTTATGATCTGTACGCTTTGCATGGAGGGTGAAAAATTGAATGGAGGATTACCTCTCCATCTTTGGTATAGGGCTTATTCATTCTCTTTATCTCGTGTATACAAGATTTTAATATAAATTATCGGAATCTTTTATGTTACATGTGTGACTAACATAGGAAACATTTTTGTACGTAATTATATAAAAAGTGTAACATGACTTGTCAGAAGGTAACAGAAATAAATGAACGACCTCTCATATATGAAATGGAATGCAGTAATGTACTGTAGTAGAAAGTTACATGACGAATGGCAAACACAAACCTTCACTGATGCAGTGAGCTGGCGGATTACATGGCCGCTTTATATTGAAAAATGTTAAGTGACTTGAAAGGGGATCTTTGATGTTGTGTATATTGTGTGCAACTATTCTGTTATCAAATGTAAGGGCACTTCAGACCAAATGTTATGTTTACACGTGCATTCCTTTTTGTAAGTACTGGTTGAGGGAATTCCCCATGCCGTGTTGGTCGTGGGGGTTATTTGACCATACTTCACCACGCTGGTCAGTGCTGGTTGATGACGGTGGGGGGCACAGACGTTGGAGCATAGTACAGTACAACTATTTATTTTACTGCACTGCCCTCTGCTGATGCAATAGCCTCACAGCGGCCCGCAACACCTGGTTAATTCCATAAATACTCCAACTTTTCTAATTACTATATGGCAATGCAAGTCAAGCAATTATGTCGAACATTACATAATTGGCTATTGCTTAATGTCTAATTATCTACCATTTAATTTGCTAAAAGATGCACCACTGTGAATGGCATGAGGTTCTTAGGTAAAGCAAGATTTACCCGTTGGTGTGTGTGCATGTGTTTTAGTTCAGTGTGCACACATGCACACAAGTGTATGGTTTGCATGCAGCACGTTCTTGAAGAAGTCTTGAACACCATCCGATGTCTGTACCCAGGAAACTAATATTAATAATACAAACACAGGCTCCTGCAGCGCATCGTCACATACACAACAGCCCTGTCACGTGACCCCAGTGCAACCATCAACCATCTTCTCACTATCACAGGGACAAGTTACCAACTGATTAGCACGGTTGGCTACAGAAGTTCAGCATGCATACGTCGGGATCGAACCCACAACCTCCCGCATACCAGGCGAGGGAGATAACATCTCGCCGCCGCCGGCACCCTCGGACACCGTTGACTATCGGAGAAGTGGTCAACCAGCATGACCACCTCCGTCGTGACCTTTGCCACTGGTTAATGGCCCCCTTCGAGGAGCGCGTCAATGGTCACGCGAAGAAAAACAGAAAACTGTCCAACTTACGTTCAGCGCATGTTTAACGGAGAGCTTGTCAACACGTTGCGCTGCTGCTCGCCTACCCCGCAAAATGGTCATTGTTGAATTTGGCTGAATCAGGGATTGTGTGGGTGATCTTTTTCTGGTAGACCTACAGTTGGTTTCATGGGTTGTTTGTTTCCATTAGTTTTCCACGGTGGGTGATTTCAGGTGACTCCAGGCTGTCTTTGGCTTGGATAATGGAGTAACTTAAGATGGCAACTCTATCGTCATTTGATCGTGTATGTATGCCCTATGGGAGTCTGTGTTTTTTTTAAGTTAGATTTTTGGATCCAGACACTAAACAGTCTTCACATTTTCCTGATGAGCGTGTCGATGGCTGCCTTCAAGGTCTGGGCATAACTTAAACGTTTGAGCCCCGATGTCCTGCACGTCCCTGCTTGCGTGTGCATACAAATGTGCTCCGTGTGATCACTGACTTTACAGAGAGTGCTTTGAACCTTTTGCCGTTTTGCAGGACCCCGCTGGACAGGAGGGCAAATGAGGAGGAGGAGCTGCAGGCCGCATCCTGGCCCAACATCCCCAACCCCTTTCCCGAGCTGACGAGCCCAGCTGGTTCACCAGTGCTGACAGGGACATCGCTTCCCCCGAGACAGGCCGGCGCCAAACCAGTGAGTTCCACAGACCCCAAAAAAAGTACAAATTAAAAAAATAAGCATTCTCATGAGCACACGCATGCAATTAACATATTTCTTGACTGTGACAGCACAATTTTTGGTTTGCTGCTAGAATCCAGTCTGCTTCGTGGAACATTCCAGATTTTTTTTGGTTTGCTATATACTTTTTTTTGTTTGGCAGGTCTTATTTCGGCAGAATGTCTGCTCATAAACTTCCGTGACCCTGATAGAATACTTAACTCAGGCACACATGTCGTCCCCACCGTTTGGGGTGGGGGGGGTGTTTGACTGCCTTTCAGTGGCACAGAAATCAAATCTGTATTCCTTTCCTCCAATACTCGAGCATGCCAGTAATGCCAATGATTTTTTCTTTGTAAAATGTTAGATTATACGCGTTTATTAATAAAAACCACGCTTGTGTTTTGAGGATGTTTTTTCTGCTGGTTGAGATGTATTGTGGACATTTAGCCCTTTAATCGGGGTGCTGCGACAAATCGTTTTTAAATCACATCGCACTTCCTTATGTGACGGGGAGATAGGCACCGTACACATCCCCTTCAGTGACCCCCCCATGAATCATCCCAGGGCCTGAAGAGGTTTCATAACAATGCCAGATTTTCAAAACATAAAACAAAACTGAGCACTTAGATAAACGGACACCGTCACCTTGTGCCGGGGATCGCACGTGACTCTCAGACGTGCTCGCACGCACGTGCGATTGCACTGCGGTGGCCCTCTTGGGTTCCTCCTGTCAGCTTTGCCAAGTCACACTAAGATGGGCAGACAGAGACATCGCGGTGGCGAGGTAACGCTATTCCCACAGCAGAATGCGCAGTGAATAGGCCACATCGGGTTACATTGTTTGCCCTCTTGGAATGCTGTAAATGGAGCAAGTGTGCAGGGACCTTTGGGAATTTGAAACCCCTCAAACCGACACTTAAGGCATGTCATGGACTTAATAATGCACTCGCTACTCAGGAATGTTGTCGAAATTTGTTTTACTGCATTAACATTTCCCCCCTTAAATGTTATTATTACATGTATTGCTTTAGAATAGCGTGCTTTATCCAGCCTGGTTGTTCAGCGGGATAGTGAACGAACACAATCGGAATGTTGCGAGTTCTAAGCCCGGGTTGCCGGTCGACCTGGTCCATCATCCCTCTGGAGTGTATAAAATAGGAAACCACTGTGTGAGGCTGTCCTGTGGATATGACTCACGCCGCTGCGATCGGCTTCGGGCTGCAGAGGGGAAAATGAGCACCACCTCAACGCTCATTGAGCAAAACAGCTCCTTAAAATTGTATACAGTAGTTTGCTTCAGTGAAAGTATGATTATATTAGCAATTTCAACATCCCAGGTTGAATATTTTAGATGAACATTGAATGTTTCATTACTAAGTTACATACCATATTAAGCATATATCATACATGTTGCTCAGGCATACATAGGTAACTAAAATATGTTTTTCCTTTTTGAAAAAATAATCTGCTCTTTTGGCCTGAATGACAGCCAGTGCTACACTGTAAGTGTAATACACCAAGTTTCGGATATCATCTTCATCATTAGGGCATATTTTTTTTACTATTAAGACCACTTTTTAAATAAAATGTATTTTCACGGACTCCCACAGTATGCGATGCTGCCACGTATTATTGCAACCTAGAGGTCGCCAGTTCGATTTCATATACTCGTGTGACAGTTAAAACAATGGCCACTTTTCTGAAATCCCTGCCCTCCCCTCCCACCCTGTTTTAGAATAAAAATGGGTTCATCACAGTTGGTCATTCGGCAGAGTCGGCAGGTCCCGTGTGTGTTGGCTGTAAAGTGTGGGTGTTCGCACCTCTTTCAAGACCTCTGGCCAGTATAGAAGTAGGCTGAAAAACAAAAACATCTCGAGGGATTCTCTAGAGTGGCTTTGTGGGGTTGCCCTTCCGCCAGCAGCGGCGTGAGCAAGTTATCGCAGGGTTGCACCTTTACCTATTTCACCCCCTGTATGTGTGAATCAGACAAGAAGCCCTTCCCAACCGAGGTAGTGAATTGCCTGTGTGCAGTCTCTGCCTGCAGCAGGTTGCTATTGCAAACAATGTCCCATTGTTGCTGGCTTAAAAAACTTAAATCTGTGTTTGCAGCATTCGCTTGAAGCGAGCTATTAGGTGCTTGTAATTGAGGTGGAAAGTAACTTGGCACTTGGGAGCCTATTAGACGACCGACCGTTGCTTGAGCTGTGGATTAAGTTACACTCCCAAATTACTCAGGATTTCAGCTTAGGAGTCCGTGGCCCTTTGAAAAAGCAAAAAAAACTCGTAAATTATTCCTGTGTATTAATGCTTTAAAGTATTTTTCAGAAATTCGTGCAGAATGTGTTTAGTACCTTGATTGTCACAGATGTAGATTATCATACAGTATTGTGAATAACGAATGGTAAGAATAATATCAATCATGATTTATATAGTGCATTTCGCATTAATAATGGCATCTCAAAATAGCTGCTAAATAAGGCAATCACACTCAAATTTTTGCCCTGATGGATGTAATATTGTGTTGGTCTATAAACATATCCAGGCTACCTCACAGCTCAACCCTGATTCCAGGTAGTCTCCAATACAAGTGAAGTACTAACCAGACTCAATGGCATATAGATTAAAAGGTGTACACTGATGATAATTGTGACGTGTTTATAATATTCCTTCATAGTTAACTTTGGTTACAAAGCATGCATCTATATGGCCTCATGAACTTTCACTTGACAAAATTCCACGTGCTGCAACTGGACAGTTGCAGAGGTGTCATAACAAATTATACGCACGCACACACACACTGGAAAATGGTGCAATTTCTTTGGAAAAGATGCAATGGGCAAACATTCCACAACTGTGCTCTTTTGGGAACATGAGAACAGTCTATGGGAACTTAGTTATATGTATTTGAGTCAGTCCATTGCTTGTGAAGTGTGGACAAACACAAGCCACGACATGGTGTGTGGAGGTCTTCATCCAGCACAGTGGATTGACAAAGGGCTGTAAATTACAAAACATTATTACGCGAATCAAAAAAGTCAGCAGTGCTGCGGTGCCGTGTTTATGCTGCTAATAGCTAACACGTGCATCACTGTAGCTGTATGGCAGCTAAAGATACAAGAATGCGGAGTCACAATGTTGCTTAAAACTTATATTCACGAGACCAGATATGAAGCCCCAGGATGTCCAAAGCAGACACTAGTAGCTCAGTTCCATGTAATTATCAATGATGCATTCTACATTTTAACGTCCCTACAGATCATAGCAGCCGCATATTATGGTGCAACATTTGAAGGGCCCATTAAAATGGGTTCAATGGATAAATATAAAGCACTATATTATTCTTCACTTACTACATGACGTCATTGCTCTGGTGTCTAGCACAGTGCTAGGATGCATTTTCCAAAGACTTATTACCATGTTTCGATTTAAAGCTTTCGTGACTGCAGGGATTCATATTCTTGGTTCTCTTGGTTAAGTCACGTAGAAGGGAAATAATAAAAGAATAAAAATAAAACAATAAAATTCTCACGACGTTTCGATTATAACACAAGCAATCATCATCAGGTGTGCAAAAAACCCGCCACTTTTTTCAAAAAATTTTCAGCTGTGGTTTTCACACCTGATGATAATAATTGCTTGTGTAGCAATCGAAACGTCGTGAAAATTGTATTGTTTTATTTATATCATTTTATTATTTCCCTTCTACGTGACTTGAACGAAAGAACCAAGAAAAATAATTATTCACTTAACCAGTTAGAATATTGAGATTGTATAGTCTGGCCAAGGCGCACTGGCAGTGCAGTCTTTTATCCAAAACGCATGTTTTACCCAGGAAACCTCACTGGGTCTCATGACTCTTTCCAGGAGGATCCTGGCCAAGTTTTTTCGTTAAGGGGCAATGATTGTTACGTAGATTCCAAATGGGTAGTTTGCAGATACATTTTTGTTGTAAAACTTGGAAAGTTCGTGCCATGACGCTGGGACACAATGGCATACTATTGTGAACGGTTTTAAGAAGGGTGGCCTTTGGCTTTGAACCGTGATCCTCTGCAACAGGCGGAAGAAGCACTACCGCTAGGCCATGTCACTGTAGTATTGTGCTTTAACCACGTGATTCTTACCAATCTCAAATAAATATATTAGGTGACAACTTTGGGTCTGTAATTTCAGACTCAGAATCAGAATATGTATTCATACTGGAGGAATCCGATGAGCCATAAAGCTCTTTTTCACAGATGTCCAGTCGGGGCGGGTAAGAATGTTACAACAATAAACAATACAAAAACACGATAGTAGTGCTAGGTACAAGAAAGGTAAACAAATCACCCAAACACGTACTAAACTATCCCTATTCTACCAGACAAAGCCCACTGAGGTGTTAACTTATTTTTCAAAAGAAGCCTTGGCCACAAATGATCGCTCGAAAAAGTGGCTTATCATGTGGACATTTCTAGCAGCAAAAAATAATCGAAATCATCTAAATGCATGTTTGTGACATATTAATAATCAATTCAGCTGCGCAAATGTAATTGTATATATATACACACACACACACAATGTGTGCGTTGTGATGTAATGGCCTACTTCTGTTAAATGTTTGCTGCAACATTGAAGAAGGTTTAATGAAAAAAAATGAGCAGAACGCAGATGTCGCATTCATCATTGGGCAAGTTGTGCGAAGTTTTGAAACTGACACAAATAGATCAGTTACAACACATTGGTGCGGCATTCACATGGATGCTTTCTGGTAATTAAATTATTATTCACCGTGCAGTCACACATTGGCATTTTCAACATCATTTGTCACTGAAAAAGCAGTAACCAGCCCAATGATGTTGCTAGAACTCGACCGAGTGACTGGTATCCATCATTCGCAGATCTGAGGCTTTGCATCTAGATTTGGAAATTGCATGAAATACAATTTTACATTCAGCAATTTAAAGAGGCTTTCTAGAGACGATACTTAGATTAGTATGCAAATCATGTAGAATCTGTTTTGAAAATGTATCATGTTTTAGTAAATACTTGTCTAAATTTGTTTATATTTTGTCCATTGATTGATATATACATTTTTTAGAAACCTAGATATGAACATGGCTCCTTGGCACGGTCATGTTTTATATTTACTTGCTCCTATCAACCCTTACTTGTCACAATCATGCATGTGGTTTTGTATTGTGGCACGTTCTCACCCTTGGAATGTTACACTCCACGAAGTGCATTTTCAACAACCTGTAATAATAAATCGATCACCACACTCCTCTGCTCATAACGTTGTGACTAAACCTAGAGTGCAATGATTCTCAGTTATACAACACTGAAACAATTCGATTATTATTTTTGTTATAACCATGTTATATGAAGAAAAACATTACGTCGTAAAAATGTGGCTTTTACTTGCATTCAGATTTGCGCAAACATGCTTCCATGTCATGTCTTTGGGTCAGTATTGTCACTAACCTTTAAAGCTTCAGCACTTGAATAATAACCACTTGTTAAAATATACTCACCATATTTATAATACTGTAAATTATTATACTTATAGGTTAATTTGATACAATGTTCCCAGATATATGTATACTGGTTTGAATTGCAAACAAGCGTATAAAGTTTTAATAGAGTATTTGAAGGCAGACAATTTTCCGTGTAAACACGCAAGCAATCTTCCTTGCTTCTGTTTATAATAAATGTTCAGTGTCATTTCCCTTCCAGAAAAAGAATTTCCTGCTGTTACAACATTTAATATGATATTACATTTAAATCGAATTAATATATATCCGCAAATAAGAAGGCTGGGTTTTCCACAAACTTAATTTTGCTAAAATATTTTTGTTCAGGTTATGGAAATACCTACATAGAAGTCAGTATTAATGACCATGTAATTCCAGTTTGTTTAGTTTCCTAATGTCTCAGAGTTATTACAGTACACAACTTAATTTACATTTCCGAAAACACTTGGTGAGTTCCAAGAAATGTTATTGCGAGAGTTATCAGAAGAAAACCTCTGAATGTGGAAAGGGGTTTAAGCCAAAGGGAGAGATGTTACGTGTGCCAGTCAGCGTTGGCATCCTACCAAAAAAATAGAAGACATTAAAAGAAACACAGTGTAACATAGACTTCCTTTTATATTTTCAGATGGAGCTGCCCGAATGAATGTTTGGCTTTAAACATAATTTAATAATGGTAATATTTACTAATATATAGTGAAATCTAATGTGTGCTGGGACTCGATGTCTTCCAACTTCATAGTGAAAAAAATTAATCGGAAATGGAAATAGAAATGACAAGTAACAAGAAAAACAGCAATCAAAAACGCAGTGCCAACTGCATCAGCCAAGCCAGCGTGCATGATGTCACAGCAAGCTTTGACGTTACAGAGTAATGTGTGTAACATTCATGAGCACAGGGTGTGTACACCCAGTGTCACTCGTGGGGGTTGTGTGACCATACTTCACCACGCTGGTCAGTGTGGGATAGTAAAAGGGGAGCCCAGTACCAGTTCAGATATCACCACTGATATCAGCTGTGACCAGGATTCATAACACCGTGCCACCACTCAAGTTTCAGAACACAAGTTTTCAGAACTTAGGAATAAGGCCACTTGTTCAAATGTCGAGATCATTCTCCTCAGTGACGGTATTAAAAGCGTGTTAATATTTTATTTTATTTGTTATTTTATGGATAAGTTCACTGAAGCAGCCAATTGATTATTTACATTTGAATGTATCTTCAATAAGTATTAAGGGCTGGTAGTCAAACGTTTTAATTATATATATATTTTTCTTTTTCATGAAATATTATTAGTAAAAAATTTTGCCATGTATTTTTATACGTAGTGTTACACCGTTTTAGCTTTCCACTTAAAAAAAGTAAATTTCCCTTTTATTTTCAGCAAGTGGCCTGGTCTCCAGGTTCCTGGAACCCAAATGGAGGCCTTGGTACATCTCCATTATTGGACGTTAAGGTAAAGCACTTCATCACATGATACCCTGTCAATATGGTGCACTTCAGTGGTAACAAAACAGAGAGGCAAAGGACCTTATTAATGGCCACTTGTACAGCCTGTCTGCATTCTTCCATCTGTCTGATGCCGTCTGTCTCCTATAGTAACCAGACATCAACACTGCGGTCACCTGCTGTTAATTGTCGGATGTTAGTGATTGCTTCGGACACAAACGGGCTGGGCTAGTATAAACATATTTATTTCAATCTGGATATTAAAACAGGCTTTTTGTGGAAAGAGCTGAAATGTGGGTCACGGTAAAAAACATTGAAATTTATGGCGTTTAGAGCTGCAGCGTGCGCTCGTATTGTGTAGTTGCATGCCGATTGTATGTTTTTTTTTCGTAAATAAAAAAAATCGTCGACAATACATTTAATATTTAGATTTTTTTCCAAAAGCAAATCTATATTTTTACATTTGTATTGTTTTGCAAAAGTAAGCTACACGTAATTAATGAAACAGGGACATTCATTACTTTTTAATTTATATACATACTCACCGAAACTTGTTGCTACTGTGCGCTTACATATTCTGCATTGAATTGTATGTATTTACATATTGCTTATTGTCAAATAATAAAGCCTTACATCGGCAGTAGTGTTAAAACACTGTCTACTTTGAAAAAAAATCAAATTCTATTTCATTAAACGCCCTCTAATCCTTGCATTTGCTATCCTTGATAAAACACCAATGATAGAATAAACTTGGCACGATGTCCAGTTCTGTGATTTATCCGTGGTAACCATACAAAATTCGATGTATTTGTTACAAAGTCCAGTGATGCAGTGTGGTGTAATACGCTGTACCTCTTGGCTATGGTAGGGACTTGAGATGACAGTGAACATGTCTAAATCGTCAACATCAAGCATCGCACTTGTCATAATTTTATTTATTCTCTTGAGCAATAATTAATCTGAGATTATAGGATCCATTTGCAACACAGTACAACGCAATGTGCTCTCTGGTGTGTTTTTTCGGGTAGTACCTTGTGTTGTTTGGTATATTAGACGTTTCGCTCCGCATGCTTCTTTCTGAATTGAGTTCATTCAGATTCAGAATCTTTATTTATCCTGGACAAATTCGATGAGGTATGAAGCTTTTTCCGCAGATGTCCAGTAGGGGCAGGTCAAAAAGTTAAGACAACAAATCTTCAGTACCTGTACAGAAGGCCCCAGCGCGTGGAGTGAAACGTCTGACATGCCGGGTAACAAGCGGTAAAACCCGAAAACACGTCGAAGAGTTATAGCAGCACAAGTGAGAACACTAGCGCAGAAAACTTCCACGCGCTTGCGGTGACTTTTTTGTTTATTATGAAGATAGCAGTAGAGGAATATGACAACTTGGGTGTCTTAAAGAAGATGTATTTATTTTGGACACAGTGAGCTGTATTAGGCTTTATTCAACTTGCCATCTTTGTCAGGAAACTCAAATTTTATTTTGACTAATTACATTGGGTTATAAATCAGTGAGAAATTGTTAAAAGTGGCTTATGTGCAAAGGTGGCTTGCGTGGCAACACGGCGGAAGGCTGGCATAGCAAACGCAGCTGAGCTGCGCATTGCAGTGCAGCCATCGCATGTTGCGTGGGTGACTGGGTTTTGCCTTTCAGCCCAAATGCATCATGTTGCAGTGCCCACAAGGTTAATTATAGTGAGGAAGGGCATCCCAGTAACTGGATGGCGTGGGTGTGGGATCACTTCCCAGTAACGAGGCCAAGAATCTGTTTCGTGGCTTGCAGACTGTTTTTAGTTATATAAACCAACTGGCCACAAGTGTGTTTTGACACATTTTGACACATTAGTTAAAATGTTATTGTTTTTCGGGTTGATTATTTTTACTTTCATAACATAAAACCTGATCTTGACAAAGTATGTAACCTTTTTCGTTAATCAACAAAGGAAAGTTTGTCATTTTAGATTAGCTTCAGAACGTTGAAAATGCTTCAGTAACAAACATGTCCAATTGTGCTGTTCTAAAACATTTAGTTTATCTTCTCTCACTGTTTACAATCATTCAGAAATGTATCAGTTTTTACACTATCGCGTTTTCAACATGGAACTGAATGACCGAAAGGAAAATGGTAGTTTATTCTCGCATACCTTAACTTGAAGTGAATTGTGAATACAGTATAATGTTTAGGCCATGTGACCATGTCCTGAATATCGATAAAACACTAGACTCTCCAGCCATACACTTTATATGCAATGTATTTCAAAGATGAAGCATTGCAATTAAAACATTACACTGTATTCGAGCTGTGCATAATTTAATAATGATTCATAATAGAGTGTTTTGGTGAGATGGTGTAAATATAAATGTGTTGTTAAACCCACCACCACTCGGCACAGCCAACTAGTAAAGTTTGTCACCTAAACAGAACATGCCAATTCGTTACTAGTACAGCACACCGGTGTGTTGGAGAGTAAACCCACAACATTTACAATAAAAAATCTACTCGAATTGTAAATCTTGTGGGTTCATTCTCCAACACCTCTCAAACACACCGGTGTGCTGTACTAGTTAGAAACTGTCTAGTTTTTTGGTGACGCGATCAACCTCACTAATTGGCTGTGTCGGGTGGGTTTAACGACATATTTATATTAACGCGCTCTAACCCAAAAAAACCTCTTATGGATAATATTGGTCATGAAAGCCTAAGTGTTACATTTAATTATGATTGTCCGTTCTTTGTCAATCCACGGCTGGACGTCACGTTGATCATGGGGGTTGTTTGGCCATACTTCATGCTGCTCAGTGTGTTGAAGGGGGAGCCCAGGACCCGTTCGGATATCGTGTGTCACTCACGTTAGTGTAGCCAGGAATAAAATACAGATCGCCGGGTTCATAGTACAGTGCGCTTACCACTGTGCTACAGAGCCACATCTGTTGATAAACAAGCTACATTAAACATATCGTAGTTAACAAAAAAAGAAAACAAAACACATTTGATTTTAGTTAAATAAATATAGTTAACCTTTTATTTCCCAGTTCAGGAGGGAAAAAAAATCCCATAGTGGATCTTCTGCGTACAACCATCTGGTAGCTATTACCGTTGTCAATACACAAATAATTGTTTCTCTCTGTCAAAAATATGTTTTCATGGCCCAGGGTTGCCTGCCCTAGGAAAAACAATGTAATCTGCCAGTGTTCTCTGGGTATTATCACCATCATCAGATTATTTCTGGTAATGGTCCCCTGAAGGGCTACACCAAACCCTAATTAATGCCTACCGGTTTTTCTTCCTCCCAAATCAAGAGTAACATTTCAAGGTCAACGAAATCCCAAGTTTATTTTTGCAACTCCATTTGCACAATGACAACGCTCTTAACTCTGCCAGTGAAGCCTTCATTCATAGCTTTACTCGTACAGTACGTGTGTGTATATGGCCAAACTCCGTTTATTCGGAGTAGACGGAGAGATGACTTCTACCGGTTCTGAATATCTTGGGTCCCAACCGTGGATTCACTCGGTTCATCCAGGGGGGGGGGGCGTGACCATGGATAACCCCCCCCCCCCCCGCCGGATAATTGGAAGAATTTTCTTTAATAACCCTGTTTATCTGTGGTCCTGACCCCGAACGTTTGGAAGTGCCCCGCTCACCTGCGAGAAGTGAAAAAATACGCCACCAAATGGCACGCTGCCAGCACGCGAGGCCACGGTGGACCCTCGAGGGCCATTCTGTGATAAAGTTTACGGCACAGAGCAAGGTCGAAATCAGCAGGCGCTTGCCCCTCAGGCACCAATCCTACTGGGTCTCTCCTAACTAGATGGCAAGCAAGCTCCCTCGTACCCGTCCCTAAGATACTTGCATACAGCAACGTGCAAAGCACTCGGTGGCACAGCAGCATTCTTTGTTACCATGTACAGCACTGCATGATATATTCATTTTGACACAGATTTTGTGGATTAACTCCGTTTATCCATGGTCCCAACTCCAGAAAAGTGTTAGTATTTGCCGAATAAATCCGTTTAACCATGTTCTGGTTTTGATGGCCATGTCCCCAGATATTTGGAAGAGAGAAGTAGGTTTTGCCGACCCTGGATCAACAAATTAATGGATAATCAGGTCACAGATAAATGGAGTTTGACTGTAACTGCTTTTTGCATTAAAAGGTTACTCTGACGTGCAGTGTCCAATCTGTGATTTAAACCTAAATCCCAAATCCACTCGAATGTCTTTAAGCACACAAAGCAAAACATCATACTCTTTGGAATACCTGCAAAAAGGGCAAGCGATTCATACACAAATCAGTCACACTTGTACCAAATGTGGATTATAGCAGCTACAGACATCTGACCTAATATCCCCCCCTACCCGCACTGCAGTCTGAATGTGGCTGCTTTGTCAGGATTTGCACATTTGAAAGGATTATTTATAATTATACAGCTGCTGGATCAGCCTTCATTCTTTGAGCACTGAGGGGAAAAGGTGGCTTTAAATCCCGTGTGATTGTATAAAAAATATCTAGGTGGCATTCAAGACTTACTGCTATAAGGGTGGTTTTGATGACATAGACAATGTTGGAATCAGTGCCCTTAAAAACCTCGTTGGCACTAGTGGTGTAAAGTTGTCTATATCATAATTTATTGTAAAGTTATTGTACAATAAGTCTCAAAACATAAATTTTATAGTTCAAAATAAATATTTCTTTTCATGATTTGGTTACATTTAGAAAACAAACGTAAAACTGTTTTTGGATGGGGGAAGAATTTAGCATTTAGAGTTTGCCTGTAGTTTTTAGGATGTATTCATTAGTATATTTCATAGATATGGGTTCTTTGACGATTTTTTTCAGTGGACCACATAGTAAAATGATCTTGCCCTGGCGGGCCTCGTGAGCTCTTCCATCACGTGTACAGGTGTTATGACGTAAGGTCATTTGACCACTAATCTCGACCACTTGTCTCCAGGTCGCTTATCTCAAATTCGTTATCACCCTTTCATCTTGCAAATCTTTATCT